TCATCCCCAACATTAATAATTTTCTTACGGGGGACAAAATGAGAAATAAGCGGATCCAAAATTTCGTACAGTTTTGCAGTGCAAACATTTACATCCGAACTAAGGAAGAACTCAGTCCAGTCGTAGGAATTAAGGTGTGTTAATAATTCGGTTGAGCGAGTTGATCGGAAATTGCGGAAAAAGCTATATTTTGGGGACGATGTTTTGTCAGCCTCGAATTCCAACGTTGAAACAACTATGTCATGGTCTGAGCCCCCGAGTGGGCATAGGGATGACACTGACGATGGCATGCAGCCTCTACAGAAAATTAGGTCAAGTATGCTTGAGCCTCGAGCGGGAAAATCGACAACCTGATTCCACATCCCAACATCCACAACCTCAAGAATGTCTTCGAATCTTCTGGGGCCTGAAGGCGGAGACCAGCGGACTTCGGGAAGATTAAAGTCATCTGCAACCAATTGATATTTAAAGCTTGAGTCGGCTGCAGCATGAAATGTTTGTGAGAGTAAACGATCAAAATTGTCGTTGGCGTTGGGAGGGCGATAGACGCAGCCAACGAGTAAGGAGAACTTATTTTTTAATGCAACCTGGAGCCAGCAGCTGCCTTCTACTGCGGAAAAATGCGGGAGGCCGAACGGCAAAAATGTAAGTGTTTGCTTAACTTAGACGCTGCTGCCCCCCCACAGCTATCGTGGCGATCATTTCGGATGCAATTATAGCCTAGAAGAGAGAGTTCGGAGTCAGCTACTGAGGCTGATGCCCACGTCTCAGTTACTAAAACAATATGTGGACAATAGACGAACACCAGAGTCTGAACCAACGGCATCTTATTAAGCCAGGATCTGGCATTTAAAACAAAATGTTTGAAGGGAAAGGCTGTTTGTTTCTGAGGGAAGTGGGCTACATCGTCCAGTTGTGGGCTGCCCACGGAGCAAACGGTCCGGATGCAACCATCCGGTTCTACAAAAATTTTGTGACATCGAAAAATTCTGACGTGGATAAAAAGGGGTAGGACTTTGGGGCGGGAATGACGGGCAGGTGAACTGGTAACTATTGTTAGCTAACTTATTTTCAGCTGGAAATCCGCGGGGCAGATACTGCAACGTATTCCCGCCGGAACGAAACTGAGGATCGGATGAGCTAACTGATCCAGTATGGGCATTAGCATGAGGAATACATTGATAAAACGACCGTGGAGGAAAAAAGTGAGGGGGTGGGGGACGCATTGTTTCCATTGGAGCAAGAGTTCTAATAAACGGCGGGCAAATCGACGTATTCGGCCTAACTGCCTCGATATGAGGGCTGGGGGCAGTTGGGAACACGCTACGTTTTGAGTCGGGGTATTTGAGGAACTGTTAGCCGATTGTGGAGGAAAAGATTTTATAATGGTGCTGGATTTATCGGGTGTCCGTGTGGCTGAGACAGCCATTGGATTTGCCTTTGAATTAGACACATGCTTAAGCTTACTAGGGGTTGCTGGGGGAGTCGATAGAGGCGTGTATATACCAGGCGTGATGGCGTGTTTAAAGATTTCAGCATTAAAAGTAGTCGAATTCCCTACGGAATTGACTATGCCGTGATATGCAGATGCCGCAAATGGTGTTGTAGAGGACTTATTCAGACTGACAGTAGGTGTCATTATCTTGGTGTTGGTTTTTGCCGATTTTAATTTATTCAGTCTTCGCTGCAGGGGTGTGAGGTCTGGCGAAACGGAGCAGTGCCATTTACGGCAGAAGTCTCTAGTTATCTCCCTACTCGACAGGATAAAATCGACTTCTATCATGGAGAAAAGGGTAACTAGTATGGGCGCATTACGACTAAGCGAGCGAAGTCACTTAGCTTGTGCGACACTGAAACTCAAGCCACAACTTAGTAGGAACAAATGCGCTCCCTCCATAGCATATAAGTGGCGCGGATTGTTTCGCAGTACGAAATTATGCTTGCGTTTAATTCTTTCCTAAGTTTCCGAACTTATTATCCCTATGAGTTTATAAGCTTCTTCAATTACTTTTTCAGCGGTGCTGTTTATGTCGCCGTAAATCAACCGATCGACTATTTCACCGGCTGATGGCCTGCTAAGACTAGCAGAGGCGTATTTTTGGACGACTGAAGGGTGAGGAGGTTCTACATGTACTAAAAGGATCTGCGAGTTAATCAGATCTGCAGACGGCGAAGAACATACTCTGGCGCCTGTTATGTCTTCAGTCACGATTCTAGCACCCAGAGACGGTGAGGAGGCCGCAAGCTTTCGCCTTTTATCACGTGCTCTGCGGGGCTTTACAGACAAGAAAAGTTTTTCGCTACAGAAGAAGGATCAAAACGTTACCAACGTACGGAAAAGCGCACTGAATAGCAAGTACTACTGTTATTTAACTACGAAAACTAGAAAGAGACAGTAGGGAAAGGAGTCACTACAGAGGTTTTTTTTTACAAAATACGACTATTTTGCCAGACTGTCAAACAAAACCGGGAAAAATTTTACCGTATATTGAAAGGCTACTTTTAAAAGGGACTCAAGTAAACCCCAGGCATTAATTGCATAAGTATATCCAGACAAATGCAAAGCTTCATTTATCTTTGAAATTGAGCTGCGCGCCTTGACCTTGACCTTGACATTTGAGTTTGCCCGTACAAACCAGTTGCATGGTCATTCTTAAAAGTCAAGAGCGAACGCACGCGGCTAGACCGTGGGAAGTCCTCCTTCAGCAGACATGCCGTCCGACTGTGGAACTCGCTACCAGGTAAGATGGTAACGGCCGACACGATTGGCATGTGTAAAAGAAAACTTGCTCGCCCAATCTTCGACAAAGACCTATTTTTACAACAGCTTTGTAAAACACTTTGTCAGAGAGAGAGAGAGGGGGGAAAGAAGACATCACAACGAGTTGTGGGAAGGGTGTCGGCGGCAAAGGTAGGAAAGAGCATCGGCCATTTTTACCGAGACGCTGTTACACCATCACCACTCCTGATCGGTGCGTGAAGTGCCACATCATTCAAACAACTCCATACTGTTCCTGGGGGGTTGCCTCAAAAACTAGCAGACACCTAAACTCTATCAACTCGAAGATAATTTCAACGTCTGATCGATATCAGAGTTGTTTGATTTCCATGGAAGGCAAAACATTCGTGACCCCAGAAATTACTGAACTCCGAATTTACATACCGTGTATTGTTTAACTCGTTTTTTTCCAGCCTTTATTATTTTTTTGTCTTAGCAATTTGAGTCACTTCATCTTAAAATGAATTCCCAACTCGCGTTCCACTGGCCGAGCAGACACCCAAAACAAATGCAGTCAGAGTGCGGCCGAAATACATGACTTCGATTAAGGTTTTTTCTGTTTTAAAAGGAAACTGACAGCGCCCAAGAGGTGCTATTCTCTAGAGCATACGAATAAATGCTGCCAGTCTTTTTCTTTTACTAGAATTGCTCCGCGTAATAAGTAACCCCTGGGCATAAACCGCACCCTTGCCACCTATTCTATTCTCTTCTATTCTTCTTCACTCCGTCATGACACCGGAACCAGGTAGGGGGGGGAGGAGAGATTGCGGTAGCTCACATGCATGTCTTCCAGCATTATAAAAAGATTCATGCAAAATTCACTGCCTACTTCTACAGTGCCCTAGTTTATAAGTTGAACATCGTAGGTAGTGACGATTAAACTGTCGGAGGCATGCAGCGCGCTAACAATGGGCTGCTCTGCAGTGTTACTGGACTAATAGATGATTCAGATTGGGACACGTCACCCGTCAACTATGCTGCACAAGTTTCGCCCATCCCATAGTAAATGACACAATTGAAGGTGAGGTATTTTGACAGGCCTAGTTTCAGACTTAACCTTGTGCGATCGCTATGACCCAACCTCAGCCCTAGCAGGCTGAGTAGCTCCGAGGCAGGCGGGTACATGAAAGAGAGAGAGTCAGGTCCGTACTGTCTAGATAGTAAGTGCACTCAGTGTCCCTTAAATCATGACTAGTTTACGCGCCAAACGTGTTTTCTCATTCAAACAACCCCATCGAGGTCGTGGGGCGTTGCATCATCTCCGAGCTGTAACGCCTCTCCACCTGAACAGGGTCGTTTGAATAGTGAAACAATTTTGGCACGGGGTTGGGATGAAGATGGTGTAACTGCGTGCTGGTGAGGACGGCCGGTGCCCCTTCCTCTCGCTAACGCCGACACCCCCCTCCCACAACGCATCACCGCTCTCGTCCAGCTCACTCAACGTCGGCTCCCTCCTCGGGCCTTCCCTGCAGTTGCCCACAGCGCTGCATCCTTACCGGCTGTTTAGCTAGTATGCCAGGGTCACCCATCCATACAGACAGGTCATATATTTGCAGTTTCTCATTCCACATGTACACTGACATTTATTATACACATTTCCCTTAACATGTCGTTATATTATACTATATCCCTTACTTGCTGTACCTTCTTCTCCAGCGTGTGAGTGAGTTTCAAGAGATGCTAACAGTTCTGTTCAGATCTACCTCCGCCAGGCTCTCTTCTAAGTGTTCCTTTCCTTTGGGGTGTGCTACTCTTGACGTCCTTGGCCTTTACAGAGCTGCGTACGAATTTAAAATTAAGTGGTCTAGTGGCTGAGTTGGTCTTGGGGGTGCATGCGTTTGGATTTTGGTTCTGCTTCTGTCCCCTTCCCCGTGTTTGGTTTTGCCAACATCATTTCTTGTAAGTAATTAAGTGTAGTGCTTAATGAGCGAAAAATTCAGACGCCACTGAGTTCATAAACAATGTCCATGATATATTGCAATTTTTATACAATTGTTAGTGATTTATGTACAACCAATGTTTTTAGATATATTTTTCGTCCCGAATCAGGGAAGAATTCCTCGCTGAATGTTTATGATTGTCTACATTTGCCTTTAGGTACTTCGTGTGAGCAGAAGTTTCACCCACCGTCTTCACTTTAAAATTGAGGGGCTGCCTGAAGTTGTCAACGAATTTTTGATAGCCACTTGCGAGGGACAGTCCGCCGAAATACAGAGCTCATATGGGTCAGACGCAGTGTTCTTTCCCGCAGGTAAGTTTAGTACATGGCAATGTGTAGGGCTTGCATGAGCATGTTGTGGGCCTATCTGTATTTGTACGTAGAAATAGTATAAAAATAATCTTGCTGTGAGTTAACGATGATTAAGTTTGGTTCTCCTATGAGCCCCTGCGGCGATTCGCGTGTATTCTGCTGCATTTTGCGGCTATTTACAACAGTGTCAAGCAGAATCCAGTTGGTGCATAAGTTGTCATTGCGTGTACATTGTTCCAGGCACAATCAAAAGATATATTGCCTTTATACTGTTATCTCGAGGGAAGGGTCTTTGTAAAACTATCTGTTTTGTAAGGCTAGGCCTTGCTCCTCATAATCAGAGGATTTCTGTTCAAACTCACTTTTGTTCTGGTTTCTGCCATCGTCTTTATTTTGCTTACAGTGAATACAATCACGAAGGTAATTACAGTATTTGCCGAGTCTTTGTCGAATCAATGGGTATGAAAGGTCAATTAGGGTTACAGATAAAGATCGGGGTGCCAGGATGACCGCTTACGTCCTGTCAGCGCGCGTCTTCCTGCGGCACCTCAACCCAGGTGCTGGCACCCATAGGCCCACTTGGTCTGTGAACATTCTAGCTCCAACTATCTAGCCATCTGAGCATATATTCATGCTTTCTGCCGGCGAGACTCGGAACGTAATCAGTGAACGTCGACGTTCACCAATCTGTCCTATTTCCATGGAACACGTACGTTAAATTATTTGGAACCTATTGGGGCCAAAAAATTCGGACACTGTTTGGAAAGCCATCGAGACCCCAAGGCTTTTTGTGACAAACACTCAATTATTTAAGTAGAAAATAAGCGGCCAAATTTTTCTATGAACGAAGTATAAACCACTTTTCTTTCGAATCCTTCTAAACAAAACTGTTTGCTCTATATACAAGGAAATAGGAATACCGGATAAACGGTTCTGTCCTTCTGTTCATTGCTTCATTGGCTATCATGTCGATGGCCTAATTACCGTCGCCAGTGATTGGTGGCTTGCACTTTTGCTCAGGATTAATTTTTATCTACAAAAAGTCCGTGTTGACTTTCCGCTGCCCATCCGCTGACACCCATGCGTGGCGAACGTGTCTCTGGCGCAGTCGCTCGTGACGAAATTACTTTCAGTAGGTGGGCGTAAGCCTGACCAAATACATAAGTAAATAAATAAGGACCTATATCTCAGGTCTAGCCTTCAATTTCCTCCATTTCTCTCTAACTCTGAATATAACATTACATTTGTCTTTGTTACAATAAATTGTCCACTTAAGCCGTTACTAGTTACACGAAGTCTGGATAGCCTTCAGCGGGTTTCGCGATATTCGCCGTCACTACAGACTTATTTGATAAGATCAGGTAAATCGCGTACAGGTCAATAAACAATTTATTCTGTCAATGGAAGGTAATCCTGCCTTTATCTTTTGCAGATACAACTGAACCTCAGTTAATAAAACGACAGCGAGCAAGTTAGAACAGTATAAAAGATCACCGGTTTGACAAGAACAAAGCTTTAAACACTATACAGTTGGCGAGAACTTTCTGTAACATAAAGCTGAGGATTTTAACAGGAAATTGCGGAAATCAGCAGACTAATTTAGTGCCACAGAGAAATCCCGAGGTTTTTTCTAGATGTCTGCACGACCCTCCAAGATAAAGTTATGGAAACGAACCATAATGAATGAGAAAGCAGATAAAAATCTGTTGCTAAGGACGGTGCATCAGAAAGCGCTGATTTTGTTGGTTTTCCTTGTATTTACAGCTCCTTTTTCAATGCTGCCAAAGTGAAGCAAAAGAAAATCTTTTGACATTTTTCAACAACGCTGGCGAAAGGGATCTCATTCAGGTACTTCTTGCTTACCTAGGACTCTCTTTTTGACTGGATCGATTCTAAAATTGCACTCATTATGCTAGCAGTGATCGCCAGCTAAAGGACGCGAGTAACAGCTATCTGCCTGTTGAAACAGAAGTGATGTTTTTCCGTTTCATAAACCGGTATTTGGCCAATTGTTAGCTTCACAGCACCCAGAGGAGCTTTTCACTGAACAGTGAACAGCTCTATCAGTGCATGTATGTCTTACCACGACGGGCAAGTTTCTATGCTACCTGGCATTACCACAAAGGTTTCTTGACAATCACGGAGGTGCAGTATGCATTAAAACTCGTTAATTGCTGGCTGCGTTTTTAGATGTCCCAACACTCAGCAAACAATTACATAAGTGCAATTTTAATGCCGATTAACATGGAATGTAATTAACGCTTGGCATAATCCTGAGAGTTCGGTCGTCGCGAGAGACGATATCCACCACCCACTCCACAGTATGGTGGACACAGGGATGGTGACTTACGCGGGAATTAGTTAATATGGACAGTGAACTTGCGCTGCATCCACTGTATTCTATCCTCCCTCACCCACTTGTGCCCGATGTCAGGTCGGAGACAAGAAGGTCAGAGAGGCGGATGAGAGCACAGTCGTTAACAAAACCAAACAGCCGGTTTACGCATGCCTCACACGCCTGGTCTGCGCACGATGGACCAGGTTTTCACGCAGAAAAGAGAGGGACGTCTCGGATCCCAACTGAATGGGAGTGTCATAGAAGCCACATTAAAAAGGAGCCATTACAGCCCGACTTTTCCCTTCTGAGAGGAGGACGGAGATATCTCGTCAGTCGGCAGCCTTTTAAGCCACGGCCTTTAGCGCGCCGTGGTTGCTTAGAAGCAATCGCCGTGGGAACGGAGTCTCCACAGTCGACCACACCTTCTTCCAGACACCAGTACACTGTCCGAGCTAGTCCGTCATCTGGTACGGGGTTTGGGCGCAGGTGGTTGGCATTGCGTAAGCCTGCGCGTAAGTGTGCTAATACAATCCATGTACGGCATTTTTCACGAGTGCTCAGGTCAAATTACGCTTGCCGTACCCCTATCTGGCTTCCGTGTCGGTCCAGCGCATCTTCCGTATTGATCGTTGTAGGGACTAATAACATAACCCAGAACTTACTACACGACAGTTTCACTCGTTCCGTTTTGCTTAACGGGCTCTCTCTCTTGAGCCCAACCAGCAGCCGCACATCGGCGCATGATATAGGCAGTATGTATGAGTTCCGTAAGAACGATCGGTGAGCGCCCCCTACCATTGTATATTCCCGATCGAAAACCGACCAGGCAACGAGCTCGTGACCCAATGGTTAGAGACGTGGACTTCTAACTAACAGGCTGCGAGTTCGAGCTTCGGGTGTTCCAAACTTCGGGGTTGGGTATGACTGGCTGATGACGACTAACAAGCCAGAAATGGCCATTCCAGTCTCCCTTGTCTTTGTCGGTAATAACATACTACACGAAAGTTTGGCCGTCGTGATCGGCGATGTCGACCGTGTGTTTCATTGCAGGGTGGGAGCAGGGACGGAGCACGGACGCAGGTCAAGTCAAAGTGATAGTAAACTTGCGTAGCATCTGCCACATTCTCACTTCGTCGTCGTCGTCGTCGTCGTCGTCGTCGTCGTCGTCGTCGTCGTCATCGTCGTCGTCGTCGTCGTCGTCCTCCTCCTCCTCCTCCTCCTCCTCTACCTTCTCCACCTAGACCTGTTGTTAGGACAGAGTCAGGTAAACCGGAGGCGGGAGCGGACGCAGGTGGTCGGCACGATGTAAACCTTCGCCTAGGCGTCAACAACGGGTGTTGAAAGTAGTGTTCGACAAGACAAAGATTCCCAATCAAAAGTCAGGGAAGACGGAGTGAGTTGGACAACCTTTACTGCTTTGGGAGTGCGTACACAAAGGCTCTGTAGGCAGTCGCCGCAAGCGCGCTCTCCAGGCCAGTTGTTCCTTCTGTGTCCGCCTTCGAGGTGCTGAGACCCAGCGCGTGTGTGCGCCTTTCGTTGTCACCGCGTCCGCCAGCCAATCAGAGGGGGGACAGCGTTGACTGGCCTGAGCAGAAATTTTTACACCAAGGGACTAGGGGGGCCGCAGGGATCTCAATTGGCAACTGGGTCTGCCGCCGCATGCCAATTTTCGCATTTGTTATTGGCTGCGCATTCCCAATAAAATCGTCCGGACTCCGATGTAGCCCTCGTGATGGTCCATTGCACCTACCACGCGTGACCCGTTTTGGGGGCAACACTCAGAACTAAATAACACGCGGTAGGATGCCGAATTTTAATTGGACACGGTCCTGGCGGCCTGTATCGATCCCACTGCGTATGCAATGGGTCTTTTTTCCATCGATTTCCGATTCCCGTGGAAGTCTAATCATACTTTCTAGAGATAGCACCCTAAAATTTACGTCTTCTTCAAATCTTGTACTTGTTGGTAGTTTGCATTTCAACTTCGAAAAAGGGTTTTCTACTTCCATATATTTTCTGTACATACTTGTGAGATGTTTTCGGACCCACGAATATTACGTGTTATTTGGATCATACTGCGCACTCTGAAGGCCACATTATTTAGCCAGCGGTTATCAGGCTACAATAAAGATCATACTTGAACTTCAGGGAGTCATGTAATCATAAGTTTTAAAAATTAAGATACTCTCTTCCACCAGGCTTTGCCGTTAAAAAAGGACAATTCTCTACAAAGAGCGTAGAAAGGGAAACACTTGGACATCTTTTTGGAAAGTCTACTAGCGAACATACAGTAGGTGTGCTAACTCATGAAATATTGGCCGAAATTCTAAAATGCGCTTTCGTTCCGAAGAGATTACTTTAGTAGGGCTTTAAAAGCAATCATCATGCAGCATAATTGTATGATAATTCAGATACCTCGGGATGCCATCTTTCGAAGGAACATCTTTCCGGCCGCATGCAAAAACCGCACGCTGTAAAAGATGATTACTAAAATAGCATGAATGTTTCTCACGGATTTTCGATGCCCTTAAAAATTCAATTATATTTCTTGGAAAGCATGCATAGAAATATTCATTATTTTACTCATTCGGTCGAAAATTACGTCTTCTCTCAATTATACTCGAAAGAAGGGTTATGATTCGGTTTTAAAATAGTTTCTAATTATGAGATTTTTTAATACCGTGACATGTCCGTTCATAAAACATCGTGTTTCTGCATTTACTAATGTTGCTTGTTAAGTTTACAATATGGCTCAAATTCACTGCGTAATTTTCTGAGCCCCATATGGTCTCCATTAAATATTCTTTAGCAATGTATGGTTTTCCGTACGCAGAATATAAATGGTTTGCAGTTTGTAAATCCTGAATACAAGTGTAACGGCAGGTCGGGTTCAAAATTATTCGGGAATTGGGAAAGATTTTGAAAACCGAATTATACCGTTTCTTCAAGTATAAAATTCGAAGAAGACGTAATTTTCTACGAAATGGGTAAAAGGATGAATATTTTTATGCATGCTTTCCAAGAAATATAATCGAATTTTCAAGGACATCGAAAATCAGCGAGAAAAAATCATGCTACTTAAGTAGTCACCTTTTGCAGGGCGTGTTTTTTGCTTGTGACCGGAAAGATGCTCGTTCGAAAGCCGGCATCCCAAGGTATCTGAGTTACTATAGAATTCTGCTGAGCGATGATTACTTTTAATACCCTACTTAATCGATCTTTTCGAAACGAAAACACACTTCAAAATTCCTATCAACATTTCATGAGTTAGCACACCTACTGTACGTTGCCTAAATGGTGATCTTTTTCCGAGTGCGCTTTTTATATATGTATGGGAAAGCATTCAATTGAAAGCTGCAACGTACTGCCCGAAAGGAATTATTTTCGAACTTTTTTATGTCATCTGGTATTGCAAAAGTTGTTTAAGTAACTCTTTCGAATTGAAAGCCGCCTCGACGAATTCGGTCAGTGTTTGAAGAGTTTCTGCGCCCATTTCTCCGTTTGAGCAGGCAATATTTATTCACCACCGAGGAGTATTTAGTCCTGCTTGTGGTTGTTGTACCATTTGAAATGACTGATTCAGCCGGCTCTGTGATGCAGGAGGTTCAGGGATCTGATAAGGTTTGGTTGCCTATTTCTCAACTCGACTTTCGGATATTGGGGAATGTGGCAGGTTTCTTAAAACCCAAAGACACCTTTTCTTCGAGCATAAGATTCAAAGATGTAATTTGCTACCAAATGAACACACGAAAGAATATTTTTGTGTATCTTTTCTATAAAATTAATTTGGATCTGTAAGGCCATCGGAAATCAAAGGGAAAATTCGCACTACAGTGCGTGACCGATTTCATGAAATGTTGGCCGAAATTCTGGAATGCGTTTCCGATTAGGAAGGATTACTTAAGTGGGGTTGTTATACCGATTATTATGCAGCATAACCCTATAACATTTCGGACTCGCCAGAATGTCGGCTTTTGAATGCACTTCTTTTTGCCATCCTGCAGAAGCCTTACTCGGTAAAAATGCCTACATAAGTAGCATGCATGTTTCCTATTGATTTTCGATGGTCTTATAAATTCAAACATATTTTATAAAGAACATGCACAAAAATATGATTTCTTTTGTTCATTTGGTAGGAAATCACATTTTCTTCATATTTTGTGCCCGAAGATTGGTTTGGTTTTAAAAAAAGTTTCTAATTATGAGATTTTTAAGACCGTGCGATGTCCATGCATGCAAGACCGCATATGTCCGATTACTAATGTTCCTCATGAAATGTACAACACAGTCCGGATCCATTGCAAAATTTCATGAACTCTATGTGGTATCTTCTTAAAGGCATAGAGGAATATATGATTCCCCTTGTAGACTGAAACTGCTAAATGCTGATGCAATGGCAGATCGGGCTGGAAATTATTCGGGAATTGGGACACCTTTTTAAAACCAAAATGTACCCCTTCTTCGGACTTGAAATATGAAGGAAATGTGATTTCCTACCAAATGAGCAAAAGAAATCATATTTTCGTGCATGTTTTCTACAAAATATATTTGAATTTTTAAGACTATCGAGAACCAATAGGAAAAATGCATGCTACATAAGTTGTCATTTTTACCAAGTGTGGTTTTTGCAGGAGGTCAAAAAGAAGTGCATTCAAAAGCCGACATTCTGGCGAGTCCGAAATGTTATAGGGTTATGCTGCATACTAATCAGTATAAAAAGCCCACTTAAGTAATCCCTCCTAATCGGAAACGCATTCCAGAATTTCGGCCAACATTTCATGAGATCGGTCACGCACTGTACTTTGGCAGTCATTTGTTTTCAGGTGGCCGAAGCGAAGTACATTCTAGTGGGACTGAAATATCTAGAGGCTATACTGTACAATAATCGATACTACAACCCTACCTAAGTAATCCTTCCTAATTAAAAACGCATTTCAGTAATTTGGTCAGCATATCATGAGGTAGGCCAGTTATGGTTAATGTGCCCAGCTCCCACCTTCTGCTAGTATCGCTGACTGGTAGGGATAGCCTAGTTTGATTTAATTCGCGTGGACACTAGAACGTTCTTCTGTAATATATGGCTTTGTAAAATATTCAAGTCCTGAAAACTGCCAGTGTTGTTTAATTCTTGGATTCCTGACCGCTATACACTAGCAAAGTCGAACTCCCACTTGGATAGCTGGACGCTAACACTGATGTCTTTCCTACCTTTCAGCGCTACCCCTTTCTCGCCAAATCCCTAGCCAGCACTCTCATTTCGCAACGCGCATCGGTGCCTTTCCGAAGGCTGGACGATATCAGCCGTGTACGCATCCTGCAAAGTGTTCTGACCAATGACCTCAGAAATCCAGACCCCGACAGTCTTGGGTAATAATGCCGAAAGCCAAAATGATTTCTCCGCTGGGTACCCTTTAACCGTGTGCTCCACTTACGCGTACTCATTATTCACTTTCAGACTGGTGACAGTCATTACTGAGTGTAATCCATCACAGCCATACCCGTCGCCGCCCTACCAGCCCCCTCATCGTCCGTTGCGCCAAGAACCCACTCCACCACCAAACCCCACTACCGCCTACGCCAATGACCTACTCCATCTCCTCGCCCAGACAGAGCTTTTGAAGGCATGGAACGCCTTCTGCAGTCAGCCCCTCCAACGGCCTGGCGACATTCGTCCACCGCACAAATTTCGCCTAGCAACTTGGAATCTTGACCGATTTTCTCTAGCCAAGGCTTGCCATCCTGGCTTCCGAGAATGCGTTTGCCTAACGATTGTCAAAAATGACATCGATATCATCGCGTTTCAGGAGATGTCTGGCGCCGACGCCGTTGATCGAGTAAGCCTGAGACACGCTCCTTATCGCAATCTACGCTTGACCTTGAAATTGACCGTCTTGATCTTCTAACAGCTGACGTCTGAACTCAACTCCCCTACTCTGCCCAATGTTCGTCGATGGTTCGAGATGCAGGACCCTGGCTACAAGCCCCAGTGGTCGGCGGTCACTTCTAAGGAGCCTACGGGATTGACATTTCAGGGAAAGGAATACTCGGCTTTTCTCTACCGCTCCGATCGTGTTCAGCTCACCTCTTGCGGTATTCTTGGGAGGGTATCAACAGAAGAGGGTGCTCCAACTTCTTGTGGTGACAAGACATTTGCCCGCGATCCCTTCATGGGAAAATTCAAGGTATTTCAGCCTTATTTCTGACCCCAGTTAACTAACATTGATAACCTAATAAGGTCATCATCCGGCACTAAAGTAAGATCATCCTACCTCGTATGCAATCCATAATAATGTTAGTTCGACTGTCATGAACGGCGATGTCCGCCGTGTGCCGCACAGCGTGGCGCGCACAGAACGGGGACTTGTGCGTGAGTTACAGTGAGTGACCGATCTCATGAAATGTTGACTGAAATTCTGAAATGCGTTTTCGACTAGGCAGGATTACTGGGACACGGTTGTAATACTGATTATCTTGCGGCATAATCCTATAATATTTCGGACTTGGCAAGATGTCAACTTTTGAGTACACTGCTTTTCAATCTCCTGTAGAAACCGTACTCGGGGAAGAATGACTACTTAATTAGCATGCATTGTTCCCATTGATTTTTGATGGTCTTGCAAATTCAAATATATTTTGTAGGAAACACAAACAAAATATGCTTTCTTTCAGTCGTTTGATAGCAAATCATGTTATTTTTATATTTTATACTCCAAAAAGAAGTATAATTAGGTTTTAAAAAGTTTCTAATTATGAGACTTTCTAAGACCGCGCAATGTTTATTCAAATAGCATTGTACCTGTCAGTTTACCACTGCTCCTCATGAAATGTACCACATAGTCCGCATCCATTGCAAAATTTTATGGAGTCTGTATGATATCTGTTTAATGGCATAAAAAATATGTGATTTTCTTTACCCTGAACGCATGCACCTTGTAGACTGAAATCACAAAGCGCTAGTGCGACGACTGATCAGGCTCCAAATTATTCGGCAATTAGAGAACTTTTTTAAAACCTAATTATACTCCTATCTTGAGTATAAAATATCAAGAAGACGTGATTCTCTATTAATTGACTGAAAGAAAGCATATTTTTGTTTGTGCTTTTTCTAAAATATATTTGAATTTGCAAAACCATCGAAAATCAATGGGAGAAATGCATGCTACTTAAGTAACCACTTTTTACCGAGTACGGTTTCTACAGGAGATTGAAAAGCAGTGTATTCAAAAGCTGACATCCTGCCGAATCCGAAATGTTATAAGATTATGCCGTAAGATAATCAGCATTACAACCGCGACCAGGTAGTCCTTCCCAATCGAAAACGCAGTTCAGAATTTCAGTCAACATTTCATGTGATCGGTCACTCACTGTAGTTTATAATGATTACGGACTTATGCAACATCTGGTGCTCTCTCCCTCCCTCTTGGGCCGGGTGGCGAGACGGAGTCAGGATGACCGGAGACGAGCTCGAACGCAGTGACTGACAAAGCTAGATAGCCCGTCTGCGCTTGCCACACGCGACCGAGTCCGTGCACAATGGACCAGGAGTTTCACAGACTCGGATTCCATCTGATTGGGGGTGCCATAGGTGCCACTGCAGCCCAAGCCTTCATCCTGAGAAGACCGAGTTATCCCCTCATCCGGCAACCTTCTAAGCCACGGCCTTTATCACACCGTTGCAGCTGTTCAGGCGTCGTTGACCGGTATCACCCTTGCATCCAGGTGGGAGTCACCACTGTGAGGAAGCACATTTCTGAACCCGACGAAATTCCACAGAAGCTACGTGGCTAAAATCTGGCATCAGTCTAGTGGAGAAGTCCTATTCTCTCTCCCTAGGACATTAGTTGATCACACGCCGCAGAAGTTTGACGCATTGGGCCACCAAGCTCTGTCTCATTTCCAAGCCCCCGAAATGAAAAAAATTCCCCGCAATCGGTTCCCTGTTCGAGACCCCTCTACCACGAGAAGATGCACCTAGGTCTCTCTGAGAGGCTAATCAAGTCAGTTTTCAATCAGTATGCATTCTCCTAGTATGTGAAATTCAATATTGCCTTTAAGGGGCGTCCCCTCCCTGTGGTCCAAGTTCAGTACAGTCGACGAGGGTTAGGAACCACAACTACCCGCGCATACTTGAGAACCCTCTGAATACGCTTATAACTGTCCGTTTTAATGTTTGACCACCAAATATACCTCAAGCTATTATTCCAAAACGCTTTGATATTATTTCATAGTTATCTTACAATGTTAAGGCCGACTCCATCCTCACTGTGCTCTCATCACGTACAGTGGAAACCGTCCTGGCACTGCCGCAGAAGCCAACATCCACGGTCTTCCTCACTTCTGCGACTCGCTTCTTGGTTTGCCGGATGATACTCTCATTTTACGTTACAATAGCAAACTAGAGTCTACAGGCGCAGACCGAAATTTAATGTATGAATATTTGGGCCGAAATCCATCAGCCACAGCGAGATGACCGCATAATATTCTGAATGGTATTACCCACAAAGACAAGGGAGACTGGAATGGCCATTTCTGGCTTATTAGCCGTCATCAGCCAGTCATACTCGACCCCGAAGCGTGAAGAACCTGGGGTTCGAACTCGCGACCTGTTAGTTAGAAGTCCAGCGTCTCTAACCACTGAGCCACGGGCCCGTTTTCCTGTCGGTTGCGATCGGGAATATATAATGGTAGAGGGTGAGGTTCTAGTATACCCTGTGTTCAATCACCTGAGCTGCGGGGGCCCGAGCTTTCCACAAAAAAGCACCAATTATTTCTTGGTAGAGGGACGCTCACCTATAGTTTCTACGGAAGTCACTCGTCTCGTTGTGCCTTACGGGCTCTCCCTCGAGCCCAACCAGCTGAAAACGGCTAATAAACCAGAAATGGCCATTCCAGTCACCCTTGTCTTTGTCGGTAATGCCATTCTGCCTAAATCATGCGCCGCTCTGCGGCTGCTGGTTGGGCCCAGGAGAGAGCCCGTAAGGCACAACGAGGCGAGTGAGTTCCGTAGAAACGATCGGTAAGCGTCCCTCTACCATCGCGCAATATTCATTAACTGCCGACAGGCAGGTAGTAGTATATTTTGGCGCCAAAGGATACCACACTAGCAGCACCTTGTGCAATCCTAGAGCGTCATGGATTTCGCAGGACGTTGAACAATCATCCTAGAACATGATTAAAAAAATATACAAAAAGATACGTAAAGTGCACAGTTACTCAGTGAAGTATTAGAACAAAAGAGGTCTACACGGTGAACTAGCAGAGATGCGGACTCCCGCGACACATCCACCAGGAGATAAAGTTTTTGGTGTACGACCAATCAGTTCCTGGTTTGACTACCATGACAATGCCAGCCTACACATGTGAAGTAGAATTGCGTCTAGGCATTCCAGCTTCACAAGCTGCATTCTCCTTTCGGGGAGCTTTATTTGTAGAATTTGCGTCTCGTTCGATGAACGCCTTTAGGAAAAAATAACATTTTTTTGATATTTTACTGTAGGGTAAGGTGATTCCATACTAACAGGTACTAGCCAAAAGCCCTTGCACGCGTGTTTCGCTGATATTCTGCCGCTGCATGACAACTGCGAGGGGTTCGGCTCGTCAGTGGGTCCCCCAGCATTCCATGTCTGCTTTCTGGTACATACTCCAATTTAGAAATTGTAGCTTTTTTACTGTGCCTGCATTAATATTTGTATTTGAAAATTAGCAAATCACTGTTTACCATAAAAGTGTATTTAGTCACGGTAATAAATGAAAATAATTGGCGATTATTTTGTCAAGGACACAGTGTGCGACCCCACCCAGGCGACAAGAAACCGGAACATCGTGTAATACGAGTTTTGTGAATGGGGTTAAAAGGTGGAAAGGAGAGTGCAATAGTGGGTAAGCATTTGAATAAATGTTGAGGTGGTATATTGCGTCCTCGCGCTAAATTTCCCTACACCTACTTGCAAAAGAGCACACATACCGGAAGCCTGATCCCCGAGGAATTATACGGCTATCAAGGTATCTGACAATGCAGGCAAAAGTTAAGCTTTTTTTCGCAGTTCTTCCAGCCTGTTTTCACAAAGGAAGTAGGACGTGTGGTTACGAGATCGCGGAAGCCTCAATTATAAAAAGGTCGAGGAAGGAATATGCCACTAAGGCGTGGTTTTTGTTCTCTGAGTGGGGTCGAACACTGCGTCTTTGCCAATACTTTTCATATCCTCAACGAAAAGAAAGAAGTCCGCGAACAGGTGGGGTCAACCGTATTAAAAAGCACACAATAATCCATGTTTTGTACTTTGCGCATCCGTTCATGTTCGGCCGGTTGTCCTGTGTGATCCTGACCATTCACGTGCTCCCGACAGCACTTTAACAAACCGCACATTTCTGCACTCTAGTAACATCGCCTTAGTCACGAGTTAGTGTCATATCATGGGGGGGGGGAGGGAGGGCGGGTTGCCGAGGGGGTTACAAACGGTAGAATGGGCATCCTTGGCTCACTGGCCGACATCAGCCATCTGATATCCCAGCTCCAGTTACCGGCGCCGCCGAGGGACGAACCCCGATTCACTCGGTCACTGGACACTGAAGTCCAGCACTCTGTCCGCCTGAGTTACCGGACCGGAACTCCGTCGGCAACATTGAGGAAATGTAAATTCACGTGAGACTGTCGCGTCACTACCAACGGTTAATCGTTGAGGGTGGAGGAAACCGATGAAGGTTAGGTGGAGACGGCCATAGGTGTTGAGAGTAACTGGAGATTAGCTTAAATCCTCGTGTCTGCCGTCTACTAGCAAGGATAACCTGGGCGAAGCTACTTCGCTGATAAAGGTAGGACAGATTCTTAACTTCCCTTTCAAGCGGGTAGTATGCCAACCTTTTTTTCCAAACATCTGTCCTAAATGCGCACTTGGAGGAAAATCATTCCCTAAGTAATGTACACCTTTTGATTTATTTGCTGTGCCTGAACCTTGGATGAGGACTCGATCGATCGATGTATCGGTCTGATGCTCGCACACAGAGCCTTGTGCAGTAGCCTCTAGGCCTACAACACTGGTCGTTGATTGGCTGGTGACTCCTGTGACTGTCGTCTGTTCTGTTGCTACTGTCATCTCTGACGAGCTCGAAAGTTCAGAAGACTAAAAAGTGGTTCCGGCGCTTGATCAGTCTCCACTTTCACCACTTATACCGACACCTGAAATTAGAGCCTTCCCATCCATTCGTAGAACAAAGTGCCTGAAGGGGATCACTAAAGTTTCATTCCTTGTCCTCCTTCAGTGGAAAGTTTCATTTGAAACGTGGACAGAAATTGAATTTCGAAATTTTAGGCATCTAAGACGTTGTTTATTGCATTTATTCGCCTAGCCCCTTCCGAAAAATATAATTTTTTCTTGTGATAACACTATGAAAAACCATCAAAGTGTCCATCATCATCTGATGGTCACTTCAAATGTCTAACATATGAAATGATACTTTTCGTGCGGTCTGGTCTATGCTTATGCGTAATTTAGTAACGAAATGAAAAAAATGTTGGCAGTTGGAGCAATATATCAGTATTTATATGACCACTCTTCTGAGAATTTATAATCACTAAACGGAGCAAAGATAGCGAAAATGACTGCAGTTTAAGGAGAAAGGTAAGTTCTTCCATTGGCGACGGAAGAGATATCAGTATTTTTCCAGAAAGGCGAAAGCAATGACCGAGAGTGCCCAGTTTTTTCTCGACCTTACCGTGTAAAAGGTAAAGTGCGTGAACATCCATCAACAGAATATCCTATCAAAGCACTTTTCAAATAGATCACTCCTTAGAGAAAGTTTTCCAGTTGACTGAAAGCATATTCGTAGTTGACTTCTGTTGTGGATATTCATTTTTTTCCACAATGAGGTTTCGTGTTTGAGTGAGTTTTCAAGTATGACACAAACGGCAATCTACGTGAGGAAGAGCGCCCAATACTTCGGCAAACGCTTTCCAGAAATATCTTATTTTGAAGGTTTTGAGAAATACATAGTACAGAACCTATCTCTGGGTGAGCGATTGAAAGCACTGACAATCTTAAAGTATTCTCTGCTATTTCAAGGACACTCTGAAACTAAACGGTCTCCACCGTTAGCAAAGAAGGCACATAAACTTGACTGAATAAAAGTTCCCTTAGTATAATTAAAATGCCGATAGAAGCGAATAAGCAAGTCCCGGAGAATAAGATGCAGTCGCCAGAACAAGAAGTCTATTGGCCTGACTTTTCGGATTATCACTCGAGTCCATCATAAGAGATAGTCGCAGAACAGGGTAGTAGGGTCACAGGGTATGCCTACGGTTGCATCTACCAATCCCCTTCAGATCTAAATGTCACTGACCAGTCTGTCAACACGCGAACTTATGGAAACTTTTATTCCCGCGACGTCTTAGTCAGCGAAATCGAGTGTACTCATCTTTGCTTTAATCAACCACATGCCTGGCAGTACAAAATGGGAAAAAATACATTGATGTCGACCAACAGGACAATGAGACACTTTACCGGACATTACGCACATTGTGCCGGACTTCATATAATGCTATTTCCTGGGCGATGTCTAAGGAGAATGTATGCAAGAAGTAATTTTTTAAATACTACTATGCTACATCGTTTTATTTAGTTAGTTTCTTACACTGACAAGCATCATATACTTCTACAACTTCAGTCTAAGCATATGACATGAATGTTCGCGTTTTCGAAATTCCCTCTTTTCTAAGGGAAAATTGTTCTTCCTCGTCAGCGAACCAGTACTTGTAAGGCTTTTTTTTGCGTTTTAAAGTGCCTGAAGGCGTTCCTTATTTTTTGTTCTGGTGGATGCATCCGCACTAGTTTCAGATTGGATAGTTATTTTAGGTTAATTTGTACACACTTTGTGAGTAAGGTAACCTACTTATGCGTCATTAAGTTCCTTTCTCGGAAGGAAAACGCGCTCTCCTTTTTTGGCAAAGTCTTAATGATAATTCCGGAAGTTTCATGGCGTATTCAAGTGTGCGTAGGTTTTTTGCGAACGTCTTTACGAGGTTTTAAAAAGCAGTTCAGATGTGCTCCTAAAATCAGCTCATGTATCCACAAAAAAGATGATGTACCCCCAGAGAAAATACGCACCACACAGTTTGGAAACCTCGGGAACAACTGAAGCAGAGGCCAATGTTTCGGAATATTCGCGAATTACTCGACTTTTCATGGGAACCTTTCCAGGTGCAAACTTCAAAGAAGGTGTAGGTGTCGTCTAAATGAATGCAGACCTTTGAACATTACACCACATTTTTTTCGTACGGTGGACAAAGCAATTTATGGAGTACGCGTTAATTAGTTGTAGAAAATCTCTAGTCAGTCAGAAACCGACACTGAACGGCCTTCAGCTAAATGCCAGTTTTCTAAACACTTGGTCTAATTCGTTTATCTGCACAGTTTCGAAAATTCTTCTGTAACTCTTTTACGTTTCCATCCCCAACTTTTCGATATACTTCCCTTCCTCAGGACAAAGGTGTAACACCTACCCTTTCCTCAAATAAACTTAAATGGACTAAAAACAAAAGGGTGATCAGAATTAATATTATGTTGGTTAGAAATAACAGCTTTCTTTAGGAAAACGGTAATGGCGAAACGCGAACATTCATGTCAAACAGGTAAGATAAACTTCCGGAAGTACATAAGGCCTGTCTACGCAAATACCTGCGTAAATAAAAGAACCTAAACACAGCAACCCTTAAAATAGTCCTTTTATGTAGCGTGCACTTAGATATCCTCCAATAATTGGCGAATCATGCAGTCTGATAGTTAGTCAACTGCCTAACATTTGACTGTGATCGAAAATTGCTCCACGAGTATTCGATGTAAATTACCCCCAGGAAAACGGGTTGCCTGTTAGCCTACATGCTGGCTGCCCCCCGCGTCCACAGATGGCGGATGGTGGAACGGCATTCAGCGAAGGTTAGCTGTGAAATAGCCAGACTCAGGAATGACGAATAGGCAGTCGCGAACCACCACCACCACCACCACCACCACCACCACCACCACCACCACCACCACCACCACCACCACCACCACCAGCAGCAGCAGCAGCAGCAGCAGCAGCAGCAGCAGCAGCAGCAGCAGCAGCAGCAGCAGCAGCAGCAGCAGCAGCAGCAGCAGCAGCAGCAGCAGCAGCAGCAGCAGCAGCAGCAGCCGCAGCAGCAGCAGCAGCAGCAGTCCTACCAGGCTACGGAGGGCTGAGGTCTGGCACGCTGCATGCCTTATAAAAAATCCGCAAAGCCCGATAACGGCACTGAGGCATGGCGACCGTGAACCACCATTAAATAAGTTCGTTTGCCACTACTGCCTTGTGATTAGATTATTGAGCCTAATCAAATAATTCAAGCGGCTGTTGGGGGACTCACCCGTATCCATATTTTCCAAGAAACCTCATGAAGATACGGTAGGTGGGCTAACTCATGAAATGTCAACCGAAATTCCAAAATGCGTTTTCGTTTCGAAAAGATTAATTAAGAAGGGTTGTAAAACTCATCATCGTGCAGCATAATTCTATAATAATTCAGTTACCTCAGGATGCCGGCTTTCGAATGAACTTCTTTCCGGCTGCATGCAAAAACTACATTCTGTAAAAAATGACTACTTGATTAGCATGAATTTTTCTCATTTATTTTCGATGCCCCTAAAAGTCCAATTATACTTAATGGAAAACATGCTTAAAAATATTATTTCGTTTGCCCATTCGGTAGTAAATTACGTCTTCTTCTAATTCTCTACTCGAAGGAGGCACATAATTCGCTTTTAAAGAAGTTTCTAATTGTGGGACTTTTAAATACCGTGAAATGGCCGTTCATAAATCGCCATCTCTGCATTTACCAATGTGGCTTGTAAAGTTAACAATATGGATCAAATCCACTACTTAATTTTATGAACCCTATATGGTCCCCCCTTCTTACCGTAGAGAAATGTGTGGTTTTCCGTACGCGAAAAATATACGGCTTGTAGTTCGGAAACTCTGAAACCGAATTATGTCCCTCTTTCGAGTATAAAATTAGAAGAAGACGTAATTGTCTACCGAATGAGCAAAAGAATGAATATTTTTATGCATGTTTTCCATGAAATATAACTGAACTTTTAGGGGCATTGAAAAACAATGAGAAAAATTCAGGCTACATAAGTAGTCATTTTTTACGGTGTAGTTTTTGCACGCAGCCGGAAGGAAGTTCCCTCGAAAACCGGCATCCTGAGGTAATTGAAATATTATAGAATTATGTTGCAGGCTGGCTACTTTAACAACCTTACTTAATCAATCTTTTAGAAACGAAAACGCATTTCAGAATTTCGGTTGACATTTCGTGTGTTAGCCCACCTAGTGTACGTCCGAATACAGTATTACGTTCCATGCTACGGCGCCCGTGGGAGCGGACGTGCTCCGAAACCTTGGTGCAGGCGAATAGTATGCAGGCTGGACTGCCCAATCGGGCACGGACTCTTGATATTGGGTGCTGAAATGTGCGAACGTTCCTGGACCCTGGTACCCAAAGTCTGACCGCGCGCAGCCTCTATCAGTACAATGTGGATGTCTGCTGCCTGCCTGAAGCCCGACTTCCCGGCTCAGGCTCTTGGGAAACAAAGATTCCCGTAGCCAACTCACACTTCACCCTGTACCCTCTGCAGACACGATGTGGCGATCGCCCTATTTCAAGAAGCGAATCATACTTCACTTACTTGGGAACCAATCAATGACCGGATGGTCTACGGGCAACTAGACGGTCACTTCACGAACATCCCGGCCGTCTCAGTGCATGCAACAACTTCAGCTGTCTAACGGCGCGATAAAAAGGTGTTTTACTCGCAGCTGCAAGCGTTATTTGAAAGATTCCCTCACCGCGATCCGCTGATTCTTGTCGGGGACTGGAATGGTCGGACTGGACCTGGTGAATCTACAAACGCTCATTTTATTGGCCGCTTTGGGCTTGGTTCTCGATGTGACAGTGGCGGGAGATTGCAGAACTTTGTCAATCAGAACCGACCGTTCGTCACCAACACGTGCTTCCAGCACCACAACAAACATCTGCTGACCTGGTGTCCAAATGACGGTTAAACGACCAGTCAGCTTGACTACATTCTGGTCAGCTCAGGGTTCCGCAGCTGGGTTCATGATAGCAGATCGATGCGTGGCGCCAAAACTGGTAACGCCCATGGGTCAGAACATGTCCTCGTTCGTACACGTTTTAAAGTTCACCCCTCATCCGCGCCAAAATGCCAGGTCCTAGACGTCTCGACGTCGCAAAAATCCGGCAAACCAGCCCTGCCGAGGCTCCGACAGAGACGTCCGGTCCTGTTTTACGACCCCAGCCGACGGAGAAGACAGTAACCGGTAGTTGCCGCTGGAAGCATCAGTAAATGGGGCAGCTGCGACAATTCTTGGATACATCCAGTGACGCCGCCGTGACCGAGTCAGCAGAAGAATCCTGCAGTTGTCTGCTCGGACGGCTATAGCCAGGTCCCGCAACGATGACTTTTTCCGCCAACTCCCGAAGATGACGGCCAAGTCGGCCAGAGATGACCGAGAGCAATATTGGGCTGAAATAGCGACCTCTACGGAGCAGGCCTCAAACGTTGGTGACAGTCAAAAATTCCACCAACTTATTCGCCAAGTTAGTGGTAAACTCCCTGCGCTGAGTGACCCTCTTTGGGGCGTGAATGGCGGCTTCATTGCTGACAACTCAGCCAAGGTCGTGTGCCGGCGTGAGCACTTCGAGCACCATCTCAACTTTGATAGCCAACTAACCACACCCTTGCTCTCCTCCGCAGCGGTTTCTCCCCCTCCTCCAACGTATGCAGTGTCAAACGACCTTCTGAAGAAGTTTCCGATGCCATACAAAGGTTACGTAACAACCAGGCGCCTGGAGAGGACGGTATGTCCGCTGAAATCTACAAGTTTTGTGTCGACACTCTGGCGCACTGGCTCCATGACATGACTGAATAAGCGTGGAGAGGTGAGGTTGTCCTGATGAGTGGGGCTAGGGCATACTTGTACCTGTCCTCAAAATGGGAGATAAGACGAGATGCGAGAACTACCACGGCATAAGCCCCGTGGAGGTTGATGCAAAGGCCTTTTCTATTGTCCTTCTCAGGCGATTCCAGACTGTGTCTAGCTCTATGACGAGGCCCAATCAGGCCGGATTCCGTGCTGAACGTGGATCTGCGGACCAGGTATTCACACGGGCGCACTCTTGAATTCCGCCTCAGCTACCAACAACCGACGGTCGTCTGTTTTGTTGGCTTTGCCGCCGCGTTCGATTCCGTCCAGTCGCGAGTCCCTGTGGCGGATAATGGAGCTAGACGGTGTACCGTCAAAAATCATCGTCATGATCAAGGCCTATTATCGGCTCACCACCGCGGGAGTTCTGGTCCATAGCAATCTTTCCCAACCATTTGATGTTCGGTCTGGCGTCCGGCGTGGTTGTGGTGGTTTCGATACGTTATTCGTCGTCCACCCTAGGGGCACCATTACCCACTGGAGGCATCAAAACCTGGCTCGACACACCTTGTCAAGACATGAAGGTGGTTCTTGGACCTTCGGTATTCGGTCTCCGTCGTTGGGCAAGAGAATGGGTTGGACTGTCCAGATCTGCTGCCGCGGATTGTCGCGCTTGGAGTGGTACAGCTCGGGTCATTGTCAAGGCCGACTATATCAGGCATGATCGCAGCCGTACGGAGTATATGTACAACATGTAAACTTCTTTTTTTACCTTGTTTGAGATAAAGCTGGCTAAAGCAAAAAAGACTTCGTCTGATTTTGCGGATAGTGGCGTCACTATAATAAAAAGCATTAATAAGCTCACATGTCGACATGCGGGTCAGTAAATAGTAACTTCGAATATAATTAGCAGATACAATTTTTTAGCGTACCGTTTTCTGTGTGCTGAGAAAGCTGTTCTTTCGTACATTTTCAGTCTTTTGGAGACGGAGTCCGCCGAATTTCAAATTGTCCTTGAAATGTCGGTAATTACTTTACAGTTTCCTATACCCTTAATGAACGGTTCAAAATAGGTAGATCCAGTAATTATGTAACTATTTACCATACTTACAGCACATGTACATTCTGAAATCCCAGACACACGTGTTTAACCGATATTGTGACGCTGCCTGGTGTAGGTGCGAGGGGTTCGGCTCATCAGTGGACCCCCCGGCGTTCCCCGTGTGTTTGCTGGTATACAAACTCCAGTTTCATCCTGCCTTGTTTAATTTTCAAGGAAATTAATGCGCGAACTTGGGGGCAATTCCTCGGAACAGACCTTTTCAGACTCGGCCCGAAAGTTGATGTGAATATTTGAACTGAAATCCATCAGCTACTGCGGAATAACCGCGTAATATTCACAAACCGCCAGCAGGCAGCCAGTAGTATACTACAGTTCACGAAAGCATTTACATAAGTAGTGGGTTCTCGGATGTCCTTTTTGTGTACGAATGACGGTTTGGGTCATAAGGGGCAGATCCACCCAAACATGAATTCTGGTCATCGGTGAGGGTGAACGTCCACAAGGAAGGCTTACTACGAATATGCTTTTGATCGATTAAAAAAACCTTCCCTGATAAGCTTCCTCATAGGGTTTGCGAGGGGCTTTACTGGGGGTATTTCGCTGAAGAATGTCCGCGTTCTTCATCTTTTTTCGAATTGAAGTCAGGGAAAAATTGAGACATTTGGCACATTTACGCGTTTCCCTGAAAGATACGGATAGTGTTTCTGCCGCAGGCGAAAAACATGCCATTTTCGTTATCATTGTTTACTTGTGGGCTTCGTTCTACTATTATAAATGCACCACAGAGTTGCCATATAGATATAAAAAATATTGCCCAAACTGCATTAATTGTGCCCGTTCCGTTTCTAAGTTACATATTGGCAGAAACTAAAAATATCTTACAATATGCCCAAAAATTAAATTCCTGTTTGGTTGTGGGCTTTTTTGCAGTTACCTACGTAATATTTACGTGTATCTGAAAATATGCGATTCTTAAAGCAAAATATTGCCTGCAGGCATTATTATCGCCCTTTCTGGCATAAAGTAAAGCAGACATATGTATTCGAATTTTAATAAGAGGAAATATTCTCCTGTTTCCTTTACGTATCGTCCTTATTCCTATCCTGTTTAATCTTTTTACGCGGGACATAAAATCTATTTTAAAGTGGGCGGAAGTCGCACTGGTAAATCCTTCTTGTTTAGGTTAATGCCGTTCTGATGAAAAACATACATTAATGCACAAAATGTGGCCTGGGACAGTAATTAACATAAGCAATTGCCTGCGTATAAGGTAACATTGATTTCCACCCTAGTTTGTAAACCGTTTCCATGATAAAATTACTTATAGACAGATTCTGCGAGAAAAAAAGGACTTTTGGTAAAGGGAGACGCTTACCGGTCATTTTACAGAACTCACTCATCCCGTAAAACGATCGGCGAGCGCTCCCCTCTACCATTGTATTTTCCCGATCGTAACCGATAGGACAACGAGCCCATGACTCAGTGGTTAGAGGCGTTGGACCTCAAACAGGTCGCAGGATTGAGCCCCCGGTTGTTCCACACGTCGGAGTTGGGTGTGACTGGCTGACGGTGACTAATAGCCCAGGAATGATCATTCCAGTCTCCTCCGATGTATTACGTCATTTCTGCAAATCTTATTAAGTTTTTCTAATTTTAGAATTCTGCCGTTAATATTGCACACCTTTTATGGGCGTTTTCTCTCAACTGCGCTTGAGTGATGTCGGCTAGAGGGGTTTTCAGCCGAACTTCAGAATGCCACTGTGTGCGTATGTGTGAATTAAATTCGGTCTGTGCTTTTTTGGTAACTCGCTACTGCAACTTGTGAGAAGTCATCGCATCTGCTTAGAAACACCCCTTCAAGAATTACGTGAATTTTTCACTGCCCCACTGTTGCTAATTTAAGATTTTAATCGAATGCTCCCTACACGCTAGTTCAAATTACTCAGTAACAAGCGTCATCACCCCCTCCCCCCCGGCTCAGGCAAATCATGGCTTGACCTGTTTTGCTAGCAAAAATTGTGAAATAAACCGAAAAACTCGCATTCGGATAGGCAGTATTCCCGATAGCAGCCGACGGGGTCGTGAGCTGCTTCTTCAATCGTAGAGGATTCAGTTCAGCACCCAGTGTCCAACGAAGGTGAAATTGCGTCCCAACCTCAGGCTTAAAACACCGATCCCCTTATCTCTGTCATCGCAATCGCCATTTTTAGTCACACAAGTCAGGTCTCAGCTGACTGCATTTTCTTTTACTGTTTTTTTTATCTATTTTACTGACAGCTCGGATCCCAGCCCCTCATACTTGCTTCAGTACACCTAAAAGCTGCTGGTCTTCGAGACAGTCAAGTTGGAAGGACAACCAGCGAAGTTTTTAATCTGTCCACCTTCGTGGATGCCATTAATGAAAGTCGTCCAGGTATGCTGCCTACCCAAACCTCAAAGGCGCTCAAATTGAATTATTTTGCCTCGAAATCAATCTGCACACATCTTCCAAGAAACCAAAAAGTTGGACTAATGACACTAAAATATAGTAGGTGGGCTAACTCATGAAATCTCAACAGAAATTTCGAAACACGTTTCCGTTTCGAAAAGATTAATTAAGTAGGGTTGTAAAACCAATCATCCTGCAGCATAATTGTATGATAATTCAGTTGTCTCAGGACGCCGGCTTTCGAACAAACGTCTTTCCGCCTGCATCCAAAAACCATACTCCGTAAAAAATGACCACTTGAGTAGCATGCATATTTTCATTGATTTTTGATGCCCTTAAAGATTAAATTATATTTCATTGAAAACATGCACAAGAATATTCATTCTTTTGCTCATTCGGTAGGAAATTACTGCCTAATCCAATTTTATACTCAAAGGAAGGATATAATTTAGTTTTAAAAGTTTCTAATTGTGAGATTTTTTAATACCGTGCAATGGCCCTACATAAAACGTCATGGCACTGCATTTCCCAATGTGGCATGTAAAGGTAGCAATGTGGTTTAAGTCCACTGCCTAATTTTATAAACCCCATATGGTC